ATTCTTCCTATTGTGAAGTCATGCAGTGTGAAACCCCCTGTCGCCGATCCATCGTGCAATGTGAACACAGCAGCAACTGAATGCTACCCCAGATAGTCACGCAGTGTGAAAACAACGGCGATACGACGAGTTTGAAAATCGTGCAGTGTGAACTCGGCATAAGAGGTGAGCTAATCATAGACTGAAGACCCAGGTAAACAATGAATTAATCTTTTCTGTTTCTTATTGCAGTTTTGTATTGTTTGTAGTGTGATCAACGTTTGCGTTAGTAGACGTGTTAGGGAAGTAACACGTAACATTTTAATTGTATTTTGCTAAAATGAACGAAATGACTCGAAAAAAGATTCGTTCATTTTGCTGAACGAGACTCAAAGGTCCGAGTCGGTAAAATGATCCGAACTTCCCATCACTAGAACGCACCTAGTAGCATCCAGATGGGTGGGGATAGTGCCTGAAAGACATGTAAAACAGCCAATTGCCGCATATACATAAACACTGGGCGTGGCCTCACTGGCCTGCAAACAACTCGCACATTGCATGGAGGGTGTGCTGCTGCCTGCAGCATAGTGAGAAGTAATTATGTTTATTTATGTGGCGTATTTTAAACATTACTAGATATTGTTGACGCGTCTTCATAAAGTTATGTTGACCTTGGCAAACATAGTAACTTAATGTAATTTGTTTTAAACCAAAGTATCACCTAAACAGCAGGCGAGTCAGAACTGTTGCACATGAGATTAGATAAGCCTTCTGTTTGATGTGTGTGTGTGCGTTATTGCAACGAGGCAGGCAAACAACATGAACTGTACTCGTATTTACTTTCCAGAAACCAAGATGACACATACTGAGGTAAAATCACTGGATGTGATTCTTGACAACAAGCAGAGAGTTGGTTACTGCTCTGGTGAAGTAGTGTCTGGACATGTTTCTCTCAAACTCTCGGAAGCCACCACAGTCAAAACCATAAACGTATCACTGAAGGGATATGCTCAGGTGAGTTGGATGCATAAACGATCCCGCTGTTCCGAAGAGAAGAAATGCCTCTCTTTATCCAAGACCCTTGTTCCAACAACAGGTGGGTCTGCAATATAAGCTGAACATCTTTTACTCATTAATATTTGTGATGATCGAAGTGTGATAGGTTGAATTGCCTTCAAACCCATTAATTAGTGTAGTACAATTTGATTTATTATTATTTGATCAGGTCCCCAAAACCTAATCCTTGATAGTGGCATATATGAGATCCCTTTTGATCTGCAACTACCTCAAAGGTAAGTGCAAATGTTTGATGTTTAGCATGTTAAAGGGATAGTTCACCCAAAAATGAAAATTCTGTCATCATTTACTCACCCTCATGTCGTTCCAAACCTGTATGAGTTGCTTTCTTATGTTGAACACAAAAGAAGATATTTTGAAGATTGCTGGTAATCAAACATTTGGTGGTTGCCATTGACTTCCATAGTATTTTTGTTCCCTACTATGGTCAATGGCAACCACCAACTGTTTGATTACCAGCAATCTTCAAAATATCTTCTTTTGTGTTCAACATAAGAAAGCAACTCATACAGGTTTGGAACGACATGAGGGTGAGTAAATGATGACAGAATTTTCATTTTTGGGTGAACTATCCCTTTAAGTAGGGCCATCCCAAGCACAGGGCAGGGCCCAGTTCAAGTTAGAGGATGCAGGGTGCCCTTGGTCAATTCAGATTTTCTTTTCTTTCTGAGGGCTTTCTACACAGCGCTGCCCTAGTGTTTTATATATATACATACATAAATTACTGAAACAGTGCAACATTATGAATTTACATTGTGTTAAGGCCTAACATAAAGGCTGTAAAGATTATGTTGCATTAATTGCAGTTCTCGCTCTCAAAATAAAATCTTGTGTTCCTCTTATTCAGAGCACTGACTTTTTTTTTTTTTGTCTCCTAGTCCTTTGGTTTCTTCTTTTTCTGGAAAACATGGTCGTGTTTACTACATGGTGCAGGCAGTTTTAAAAAGGCCATTCCGTGAGAGTCAATGTGTTTGCAGAGAACTTTGCATCATCAGTCATATTGATGTCAGTGTGCCAACATTAATCGTGAGTATGTCAGAAACGCCTTCTGTTTTCCCACACATACTCATTTTGCTTCTGAAGGGCTACTTTCTTGAACCTTGCTTCTTAATATGCTTATTTCACTATATGGTAAGTGAAAAACAGTATATGAAATTAGTAGTATGTCTGAATTCCTGGTATTCATAAAATAGGTGAAACATTTTTTGGAAGAAAAAGTGTGAATGCATGACTTACTATCCTATGAATGGCAATAAAGTAACACGGCTGATGCTGTAAGTCACGTGATAAAGCCAACACTGTGGATGTAGAATGTTCAGACTTCATTTATATTATACACATATAGACTATACTCTATAAAACATTTTTGAACCGTTTTAAATTATTTCCTCATAAAATCCAGTGTGTGACCTGTAATGATGGGATGTGATGGTAAATGGTGGGACTAGTGATCATGAACTCTCAACAGGTTGCATAGAGGAGGTCATTCATACCTTGACAGGAAGTTGCGTTGTAAATGCTATTTTCATTTGTACTTGAATTTGTACGTGTCACAACACTGACACTAAATAGAAGTACTTGGAACATTAATGTTGCCCTCAACTGGCCGAATATACAGTTGTTCTGAACTGGAGTCAGAGCTGGAGATAAACAATGGTAAACGTAAATAATCATATAATTGTGCATAGTTAGAAGGGCAAAATAATTAGGCTAATTACTTTACGTTGAACATCAAGTAGTCAAAATCTGAAGCAAAGAAGCACTGCATTAGAGAACTTCCTTCTGACCTTTGACTCTCAGATTTACTGTTAAATCTCCAGTCTCCAGTGTCACAAACCTGTAAGAAGATGGTTGGCTGCTGGATCTTTACTTCTGGTCCCATCTCACTGACTGTCAGCATAGACCGACAAGGTTATTGCAATGGTAAGGGAAAATAATTATATTTTTATGAGCTTTCTGTGTGTGTCAGGATGATAGTATTTGAATATATTAAATATTCTTATATATTCTGAGATTTTTGTTAACTTAAATACCCTTCAGAAGTAATAGGAAAATTAATGTATTACAGAAAGAAAAAAATCTTAACAACCCCAAACTTTTAAACAGGGTTTTAAATCTTGGTAAACTTATGATTGCTCAGAGTTGATATCGAGGTAGATATGGCTGCTTGGCAATTTTCTTCTAATCTGCTGCAGTAAAAGTATGTTATTTGAAATAATTTGCTTTTCATCTTGTAGCACACTATTTTTTCATCTCTTCTCCAGGAGAATCAATCCCAATCTATGCTCTGATTGAGAACCGTTCATCTCGTCTAGTTGTGCCAAAAGCAGTGGTATACCAGATACAGACCTATACAGCCAAGGGTAAAACAAAATGCATCAAACAGGTGGTTGCCAGTGCTAGAGGAAATGTAGTGCCATCTGACACTTCCAGCAGGTGGAATGGAAAGGCATTGAAGATTCCTCCAATTTCTCCCTCCATTCTGAATTCAGACATCCTGAGAGTGGAATACTTACTTGCAGTGAGTAAAAAATGTATGATGCTTATTTGATGGATTTCTTTTTTTATTATCCATAATGCCACAAGGCTTTATTTTCTGATAAACACAGTACAGGTATGGAAAATGTTGATTTACTGACATCAAATGCTCATTTTTTGTGTAACATCTACAAGCTACATGTATAAAACTCCCTTATATGAATGGTTGTGTTTTTGTTGTTTCTTTGCTCAAGGTTATTGTTCAGATACCAGGTACCAAAAATCTAGAAGTGCAGTTTCCAGTGGTGATCGGTACCAAAGGTCTTGACATGAACAGCCGTTCCATTGTGAACATGAGCTTGCTATATCCCACATTTACCCTTCCAGACATAGCTGAAGGTATGGTGCGAATTTAATGATGCAGTGAATTCAGCTTCAATGTCAAATCATTAATAAAGTGTATGATTGCTGCATACAGTGTTTGTTATATGTGTGTATATACTTATTTTCATCTTTAATTTTCATGGTAATATTTCCTGACAGCCCCCCCAAGCTATGCAGAGGTTATGTCAGAGGAACAGTTTGAGGAGCACAGAACTTCAACCTGCCAATCACAAGCAGACTGGCTGCTAGATGGCTCAGCATTCGCTTGTGTTCAGCAGTTCCGCCTCCAGCCGCCTCCTCCTTATTCAGAGGTTGGTCGTTTCTTCATCCTTCCTTTCTTCCTGTTACACCTTTAATAGTATGTATCATCATATTATGATGCCTTTTTTACATTGCAGATTTGCCCAAGTGAACCGTAATCTTTCAGCCAAGTTTCTTTTGTGGAGAAGACCAAAGAACCACCTTGTGCCTTAATTACACTATATATATAATTTTTTTTCACGTTGTTTATGGATTACAGGTGAAATCTTTGTTTTGATCATGAGCTCATGTCAAAGTTCTGAAAGCGGTAGTCAAACACAGCCAGACTATTGTCAAGTTTTGTCCACTTTGCAACGTATTCTGGTTTTCTGCTGTTTTTCTGTACTTTTCTGTCTGTTATTGTGATAACTATTTAAATCAGTCTATAAACTGCACATAAAAAAACTCTAATTCACACTAACAGGACACATTGTCTAACTGGGTGATTACTGGCCAGAATACACTGCAATGTGGACCAGATTTCTAAAGTCTGGCTATGTAATACTACTGTCATGGCTTAAAGAAAATGATTGATAATTTTTGTAATTTGTGATCATAATGTCTAAATATTGTGGTTGTTTAATTATTTAGCACTGACACACTAAATTCTTTATATTATAAGGTGTTGTTTTGGGTCCAATTTGAGATATCACAAGTATACATTAATTCTCAGAGAAAAAAAAACTGTCACTGGGGCCCTTTCAAAAGGTACATATGTGCACCTTATTTATCCCTAAGGGGTGCATTCCATTACCTTTAAGGTACAAATTAGTACTTTTTGAAAAGGTACCACCTCAGTGAAAGCTTGTGTACTTTTTTTCTGAGAGTGTAGGTGCACTTATATCCATGTAATATTATTCATCATGTCTAGCTGGTAAATTATCACTAAAAACAACAACTAGAAAGCAACAAGCCAGATGGGGTAAACTGGATTTGTACTGTTTTTCACAACATTAGAACTTAATAAAATCGTTAATTTTTTGTACAACTAATGATCTTTTGACTTAGTTCATTTAGTGCGAGTGTAATGTAATAAGCAGAAACTCCCAGCCATAAAAAAATAAATAAATCTGAAGCAGCACTGCTGCATTAGTTGCACAAATGTTCATCAGTAACTCTTCACAGTCTCACCTGTCACAGAGGCCTTTCATTTGTATGGGAAAGATTAGAGTGGCATAACTAGATAGTTCCTTATTCAGTGTCAGAGATACATACACTTTATTTCAGTGTCAGAGATACATACACTTTATATGATACTGATGTTAAAATTAACACCAACAATGAGTTTCAGAAAAGTGCACAACTGTAAAAAAATATACACTACACTTTTCACTGTCACAAACTATTTGGTTTTATTGAATGACTATTAATTACACTTTTGCACTTTCAAAAATTCTGTTATTATGTGTGTATTTTATTTTTTGTAATTAAATATTCTAGATATATACACAATTATCTACATTTATTTCTTTCGACAAATAATGATGTTTTTTTCTGGCACATCCAATGGCTATTTTGATAGAGAAAAAATGTTGATGTTATTACTGCTGCATTCTGTTGTGTATTTTTTTTCAAACAAAGAATGATCTATAAATTGACCAGAAAAAAAAAGTTTCACCAGATATCCAAGTTAACAAATTTTGCAACAGAAATGTTACCATCATACAGTATGTGAACAAAGCTAATCATTTTTGCTCACAATCTGTGCTGCACATTGCATCAGTTTACAAAATGTCATGCTCTTTCCACATGGTAGCAAATGAAAACATCAGCATCAACCAATCTAAAAAAAAAAAAGTACTTATAACTGAAAAATACACTTTCAGTAAACATTAAACATACTTCCACATACAGTACTGCACCCAAACGAGCATAAATACGATGAAAACCTACCTCACAATAGTGCACTCACTATGTATTTAACTTGCTGTGTCTCAGTAGTCCCATAAAGTGTATTATTGGACTGGTGGAGCCGCCTGAACTCTGAGTGCCCTGAACCCAAAGAGATATCTCGGGTGAGATTTTATCCGAGTGTGAATGTGCAATATTTATAAGAAGTGTGAATTATTTAGCATGTGGCCGTCACACAGCCAGCTGTTACCCTCTGAAATTCATCATTGATAAAAAAAAAGTCTAAGATGAAAGATGTTAACCTGTATGTTAATCGAATGTAAACCTCTGTGCTACAGTAACATTCAGGACTCTCTCACTCTAAATTAAGTGTTCAACATTAAACATGACTGTTACTCTTTCTTTAATGATTTTAGAATATGGATTTTGCCTTTTTGTTTAGTTGAATGGGGATTTAAAGGAAAAGTTCACCCAAACATGACATTTTGTCGAAAATTTACTCATGGCTAGGCCATCCATGACACAACTTTTCACTTCTGATGACTTTGATTGACCAGAAATGTGTGGATTACTTGTGAATTGTTGTGATGTTTTTATCAGCTGTTTGGACTCTCATTCTGACGGCACCCATTCACTGCAGAGGATCCATTGGTGAGCAAGTGTAATGCTAAAAGTCTCCAAATCTGTTCCGATGAAGAAACAAACTCATCTACATCTTGGATGGCTTGAGGGTAATTTTCAGCAACTTTTTATTGTTGGATGAACCATTCCTTTAATTTGATCTTACACAGATCTAGACAGTTCTATCACCTCACATATTCAGAGAAGACTAATGGAGATTGAGTCACATCAGTTACAGCAAATCTTAGCATAAATAGATCATCCACTGTGCTGCTTATTGTTTGGTCAATGTCCCATATGCTTCTTCTCAAGTCTCCTGTGCAGTCAACAAAAGACACTTTTTGTTGAGTTCAGTCATGTTTCTCATTGACACTTCTGAAATGAATGTACTTCTGCCAAACACAAATTAGCTTTTCACAGTGGAAAGTAGCAGCTAAACCCATAATACTTTCAACATTAAGATGCCAAACAAAATCCAAGACACTTTTTGTTAGGGAAAAAAAATCACATAAAGATTTTGTGTAATTCTATGTTTTTAAACAATGTGCACTTTTGTAAAAAACTAAAATCATTTATGAATGTGGCAGAAGTAAGTTATTAGAGCATTACTTTCATGCCTTGTCCATCTGATACAGAGCAATTGATCTGAAAGTCACAAAACACTGCAACATTTTCACTCCTATGAACAGAGGCAGGGTTTGATATGGACTGTTTTGAGCTGTTCGATATTTATGTCTTCATCCAGAGGGGTTTGTTTTAGTTCTAATAATTGCAATCTGAAACAAGACTTTAATATTGGAGAACGGCTGAGTCAATATAATATCTTGTGGCAAAGATCAAATTTTTGGGAAATATGAACCCCAACCGTAATGTAATTTTCAATAAGTCAAGTCTGCCATCTGTTGCTCTTCATTTGATAATTGGGTTCATAATAATTTGCCTTTGGATTAAAAATTTATATTACAGAATGTACATCTGATAATGCAATGCTCATCTGAAAACATATATTTTTATGTTTCTCCCATAGCTATATGGAGCTGAATTCTTGTAAATGGAAACACTGGAAACAGTTTTTATCAACTAAAATTCAGCCATTCAAAACCATCACACAATTTCCATTAAACTAAACATGTTTTGTGTGTAAATTATATTACAGGTTTGGCAAGAAGAATCATTCATACAAGTTCTTGTGTCCTCAAAACAGGCCATATTAATAAATGGCTTTATTTTAGACTACACGGTTTTATTTCTCCAGTCTGTAAAGGAAACCTTCTTAACCGGTGACTCAGCACGCTCTAACGAATAACCTCCTGTGCTGACCTTTGCAACCTGTTGCTACCATATGTTATTTATCATGTAATTTCCTGTTCCTCATATCTTTATATTAATTTCACACCCTACAACAAGACCAGTAGTCCATAGATTTAAAACAGACCTCTTTATTCACTCATTAAGATTAATCTAGCTCTAGCTGCTGTTGCCACCAGGGCAGTATTAAGCAGTTTATCGCATTCACTCAAGGGAAGTAAACAGATATCCCATTCAGTGAAAAGAAGTGAATACCCTGTGCATCAGTACTTCTTTGAACTTAAAACAGCATCTGAAATACAGCGCACATGTGCGAGATGTTGAAAGAGGATCAAGATGCTATGCAGTGGTATTTTTATATAGGATTTTCTTAATTTATTTCATATTTTCATTCAGTACTTTCATTCAACATGTATGTGTAGGAATAAGGGTCAGCATATGCTATTTAAATTGAAATAAAGTGGGGTCAGTTTTATTTTGATAAACATATGGCGCAATGTAACATTAGGTTTACATAAAAAGAGTTATTACTGTTATAGAAATACATATTTATAAAAAAATATATTACTGGCATGCACTGCTTCAAGTCAGACGCCGATCAGTCTATATACAGTGGCGCATGAAGTCAAACACACCTATTGACTTCCATCAAGTTTAGACGTTATAATAGATAGCGTGATCTCTTCGCTGAATTAAAGGAATGCAGACTTTACAGTAAAGTGGAGAATATTGCATATTTTTACATTTTGTAAAATCTGACAGGGTGATCAGGACCCTGACACAAAGCTTAGGTGTCTTGAATCACCCTGAAGGGGTGTCACATGACTAATTCACACATAAGTAATAACTGGAAACAAATTATTGATCTGAGCTGAAATTTTATTTTATTTTATTGGCTCACTAAATACCAAGCTTAAGCAAAGAAAACAGCTGCTAGCAAGCAGCTTTTAACCTAGATAAATTAACAAGTTCACACCAAACAAACATTTAAGGGAACTTATTACACATTTCACCACATAAATTATTATGGGGACAAGAGATATTGATTCAAAACAGGAAGTGTTGGCGGTCTGACGTAGAACGTTCATTTCTCTTATTTCATCGTCTATATATTCTGGTTCGAATAAGGAAGGCTGGGCAAAAAATTGCAAGTTATCCTCTCTGTCAAAATCTTCAGACATGTTTACGAAGACTGTTTTATGTACAGCATGCGTCTTCCTCTGCTTGTAAACAAGGCGCAGCGCATCCGGGTTCTATGTCAGAATGCCAATTCCTGCGTCAGCAGCACCACAGGTACGCTCATGAACGTGCGTCGAAGACTGACACAGAAGAGAAGAAATTGTTGAATAAAGCCATTTTTGTTTTCTTTGCGCACAAAAAAAGTATTCTTGTAGCTTCATAAAAGTAATGTTGAACCACTGATATCACATGGACTAATTTAATGATGTCCTTACAATCTTTTTTGGGCCTTGAGCGTGGTAGTTGTGTTGCTGTTTATGCAGGGTCAGAAAGCTCTCGGATTTCATCAAAAATATCTTAATTTGTGTTCCAAAAATGAACGAAGGTCTTACGGGTTTGGAACGACATGAGGTTGGGTCATTAATGACAGAATTTTCATTTTTTGGGTTTACTAACCCTTTAAGATGCTCACTGAACACGTTTATATAGAAAACAATTAAAAAGCTTGTCCGCCTAACCTACTGAAGAGCATGCCAACAGTTTTTAAAGATGCACTTCGCATGTAAATGAAAGGCATGTTGTCGGAGTGCTTCATTACACTCGGGCTTTAATCTCCTTTTATTTACATTTGTATAATTAGTTTTGTCCACTCTCAAGTGTGATATGAAAAGCCTGTTGGCACCATACACTGGCTTAGCAAAAAGCATCCCAGCTGCGTGGACTAAAGACTCAGTAAACATTATGTTTCAGCATTACAATGCTGATAACTGCTGGAAGCCCCGGGTCTGTGACAGATAAGAAAATGAGCTGACTGTCAACCGGCAAACACCAGGTCTCCAAAACACCTCCACCTTTGTTTTGTTTGTTCCACCACTTCCACCAAAGCTGTGTTTGTTTTCACGGGTTTAGGGGAAGCAAGTGGGGTGCTGGAATCAAGGACGCAGGGTCGAAGAGTTGTGTTTCCAGCAGTCGGAAAGCGGGTGACGCCACATGCTGTGATGCCTGAATTTCCCCTGTTCTTATATGAGGGGTTAAGTGAAGTCACTGAAGGTTTATCTGCCTTCATATTGCTCCCTGCCACCATCAATAAAACGCAACAATGTGTCTTGAAAAGTCAGCTTATAAAAGTTTTAGGAAACTCTGAGAGCTTAAGTGATCTTCCGCTGGCTCCGCAGCAGCCCTGCAGCATTCAGGATGTCTGCTTATATTAATTTCATGGAGTTTAAGAGGTCAGCAAACTCATTTGGAGATTCTTATTCATTTATGAACCCAGCAACCCCCTGTTCTGCAGCGCGTTAAGCTACAGGGCCTCATATGCTTAAATTTACATGGAATATTATATAGTTAGGTGTGT